CCCCCCCCCCCGCCGGCACACACGCACACGCACACACAACAAAAAAAAAGAAAAGAAAAAAAAACTCTTTTTTTTCTTTTTTTTTGCAATTTTTGGTTTTATTTATTTTTTAACAAAAAAATATGCGATTTCGAAAAAGATATATGGGGTTGTAGGGTTCGAAAAACCCTACAACCCCATATATTTTTTTTATTTTTACATTTTATTTCGTCTGGGGAAATTTCGTAAAAATCGTGGTCGTGACTTCATGGCCGCCCTCCGCGGCCACGACCACAAGAGTGGTTGTCTGCCAAGTTCGACCCCCCAACTGCGGCCGTGAGTGATACATAACCCTCTGGAACAAGACCGCCTTAAGCTGTTGTTGGTCAATATCAAATTTAATATTGACTTGGCAGCTCGAATCAACATGAAGGATAAGATCTGGATTGACACATCGGAGGGAGACTCGCTAGAAATCCAGCTGGCCTCATCCACGACCCACCGTTGTTTTCGTTGCAGAGCCTTTTTCCATACGGAAGACGAGTGTCGGAGGAATAACAGACAAAACGGACGAAATCAAACAATACAAGTCGGAGCTCAACCTCGACCACAAACGCCTAGTCAACAACAGACCGCAAATCAGCAACCACAAAGCTCTCATGATGTGTTAGGTCCTCAAGGCCTGCCCTCACCAGCAGTAAGTGTGGGAGGGGTGACACACACCTCATCCCATATTCCAAGCATGGCTGATGTTTCCGTGCAAAACAACGCAGCTTTCTCTCCAGGACTGTTCTCAGTGCCTAGCTTTGGATTTCTTCCAGGAAGTTCTAGGGGTTAAACATCCTTCAGCTTTCACGCCTTATCTCCAATGTCAACCGATCATAGGTAGTCCTTACTCCACCTATATCGAGCCAGAGGAACAACCACTGGCCCGTCCACTTCTGTACCAAGTGGAGGCAATATGGATGGGGCTTCCACAACTCCACCGAGGCCAACAGTGGCCAGATCACTACACCTAGGTGGCAAACAAATCACCTCTCGCATCCGAGGTAACTCCGCTGGCAAATGAAGGCGATTGGACGAGGAAGCAAGCATTACTTCAGAAGGCAGCAATCTCCAGGACGAACCATTAGCCACTTCTTCTCAAGGCTTTGAAGGCAACTTCACCGTAATAGGTACCCAGGCACCGAGACTTCAAGACGAAGATATCTAGTCTCTCGCATCAAAGGCCAATGTCAAGATATCAAATCGAGGATGCTCCCGTTCTTTTGCGTAGCGGTAAGAAACACTTTCTGGACCATTACTTTTCCGGGCCCAGACAATAAACCAGCTATGGTAAGTTTACCTGCCTCAGATACCCCTATGCCAACAATAGTGGCAAACTTGACCCACGTTTCTAATCAAGACAAGTTTGTTTTTCGTTTAATTCCTGACATTTTGATGGTCGGGATCATCGTTGATAATCCTGTTTGCCCAGGCAAACCAATCAAATTATTTGTCCCACTAATGGATGTTCACTTTTCGGAAGGACAACTAGAACATATAGAACAGGAAAGTCTTCGCCTTCTTCCCATTGACTGGTTCGCGGAAAATAGAAGACAAGAACTGAGTAGAATTCGCATTCCACCTTTGAGGTCGGCTGAGTGCCTGATGAAACTCGAAGGTAGGCTTCCGAACAACAAAAAACTAAACTCACAGTTCCTTCGCTCCATTCTCTTGTCTACCTGGTCAACGAAAGAAACTGAAGTGTTTGTACCTCGTAGCCAACAGTCTGTGTTGTCGCGTGTTCAATGAATGTGCGTTTTGCTTTCATGTTTTGAACGTGATGAACGCACGTTTGTTCAATGCGGCTAAACGTGTTTGACACGTTTGCGCACAGGAGGCGTTTTTGGCGCAGGGGTGTAGGAGAGGGGCCATGTGTGTGTGTGTGTGTGTGTGTGAGAGAGAAAAAAAAAAAAAAAGTTTTCATCAATAGGATGACCAACGCACCAACCAACAGGTAAGTCTCCAACCCCACGGTTGGCCTCATGCTACTTCCATCGGCAAGCAAAATCAAATGAATCTTCCGCTAGTAGACATGGAAATATACACTGCCACACTTTTTTTTTTTTTACTTTTTTTTTTGTTTATGTGTGTGTGTGTGAGACAGAGAGAGAGAGAGAAAACAGAGCAGGTAAGTCTCCAACCGTGCGGCTGGGCTCACGCTACTTCCATCAGTTGGATGACCAAAATGGAATGAATCTTTCGCTAGGCATGGAAATATACACTGCCATTTTTTATTTTTTTATTTTTTTTGTGAGAGAGAAAGAGAGGAGAGTAGGTAAGTCTCCATACCCACCGGCTTTGCAACTCAACTTTCTTTTCTGTACTTCAATGTACTACGACTACTTGGTTGTGTCATTGTTTGGCTATCAACCTTTGATGATAATCTGCTGAGTTGTCTCCTACTTGTCAGTCAACCTGCTAATGCCCATGTGAACCCATTTGGAAAGTTTGCTGAGTGTGTGTGAGCATGTAGAGTTGTTTCCTGGTTACTATCGATTGGTTAATGAAGTTTGATTGTGAAAGGAGGTATCAAGCTGCGCTGGGAGGTGTACCAGCATCATGTCAAGAAGTTACCGAGAATATGGACGGGATGGAGATCAAGACCGACGCCGAGAAACTATCCGCAATGAAGATCAAGACAGAGGACGTGATAATAGATTGGACCAAAGACCGGAGTACGGTAGGGAGCGTCGAGCATCCTCAAGAGAGCCACCAAGACGTTTTGTTCCCGTTTGCTACGAGTGCGGAGAGCCCGGGCACTATCGCAATCAATGTCCGCGGCTTAGTGGTGAGGGCAGTTCCCGATTCCCATCACGGGGTCGATCAACATCACCAAGGAACTATCCAAGACATCCAGATAGGAGACCGACTTGTGATGAACCTGTACTGAAGAAGCAATTTGAGGATTTATCAAGTACTGTCGCTACGATGAAAGAATTCGTCGAAAGGGAGAACGCAAGAAGGGAGGAGAAGGAGAGGCGAAAACATGAAAAGGCGGAGCGTAGGAAGCATGAGGAGGAAGCAAAAGCGGAGGCGGAACGTTTGGAAATGGAGAAGAAGCTTAAGTCTGAACGTCGTGAAAACGAGAAGAAGAAGGAAACGATGAGGTTGGCGGAACAGAAGGAACAAATGAAAAAAGAGTTGATCTCGACATTATCGGTGCACATGGGTGGTTTGCGAGAAGAGCTCAAGTACCATATGGACAGATGCCTGGAGGAGTTAGCCAAGCTCAAGGGAAAGGCTAAAAAGCAATCGCCCAGCACTGGACAATCATCCGATGATGAGTACGAGTCATCCAAGAGTGAAGTTGAAGCTCTTAGTGAGAAGACCGGACACCTAACTATTGGAGGGAAGAGACGACGTGGACCTGAGTAAGCGATTGGCAACAGCCCGCCAATGGAATCGCCTGCCAAGCGCACCTCAAAGAAGCCAGGAGGGAGTTATGCAAGAACGACGGGACGGCTGCTCGGCTGTAAACCGATCCCTATGAAGAACTCGCCAACGAGGAAGACTCCGAGAAAGACCTCGGCGAAGAAGGTGAGGAAGATACCGGCTACTATCGGCCCTATGGGCCGAGTTCAGTATATGAAAGATAACCTCCGGGAGTTGGGAGAACTGACCGTGGAGGATCTGAAGAAGATCTGCCGAGATGAAAACGTGGCGTACGAAGGATTGAAGAAAATAAACATCATCCTGGCTATCTCTGAAAAGATAACGCATGAGGCTTACGGATCAGCGGACGACGAAGCTCCCGAGGAGGTGAATACAAAAACTACATATGAAGAAGACCAAACAGCGACCACTGATGACGACGCTGCTACATGTGAGAACTGACGAGGATGGATGAATAAGGAATTATGGGCGATCTGTCGCTGAATAATTGATCTCAGGGTTAACGGATTGAACGACAATGATCTTGATATTCTGTATCGATTTGTTGTAATCTTGTTGGCATTGAATGACCAAATCCACTGGTTGAAAAAATGTTTTGACTCTTGGGTTAGACTGTACAGTCTATCAGGAATCGCTATCTTTGTTCCTAACGCATGTTCGGCACGCAGTGGTCCCACTGGTCCGATAATATCTTACGCAGTCCGATGCGCCTCGCTGGTCCTGCGAGCATGGTGGAAACTTTGAATCAGACTGCTCCCAGATGGCCCGACTAGTCCCTCGCTGCCGATACCCAGGCCCGACAAACGACTCATACAATATTGTTGCGGTCTCCTCTACAGCAGTTCATGCACCACTCCGCTCATGGTAGCTCACCACCCTTTTTGGCTCCCTTGTACCTCTTTTTGCCTTCGCCCCGTTTGAGGTGAGTACCAAAACTGCAATTAACCTAAACACCCCAAGGAAAGCTAAATGATACAACAACAGGACTAAGCCTACCGACGTCGAAACCCGCTAAGGAGTGAATATCAACTCCCCCACCGATTAGCTGGCCCCGCACGGTTTCCACTGCAGCGCACGGCCTATGCTTGTCATCATGGCAAGTAGGAGGGCGCTTGCCCCTCTGTAAAGCCTACAATGCGGGCTTAGGCAATGCAGGTCCCAAGGTAGACCTTTGGTGGTAGTAACAAATATTCAAATAAAAATTTTGAAGACCAAAGTGAAGAAGGTTCAACAGGCCAACTGGGCGCTTCTGCACGGTTGTGCGCCTCCTCACTGTGCCTCGGGTCAATCCTTACCTCCTATGATCTCGTTGGGTATGCCTACTCAAGCCTCTCTGCGGCAGTTAGTGGCAGGCGGACGCCGCACTCGCCAAAGGTCCCTGATGTTGAGGTTTCCTCACCGTCGTAGATCAAAACATCCACCGGCTTGCATGTACGTCAAACTCCTCGCTCGTGTTTTTAAGACGGGCAGCATAAAGGAACTTCATCAACACCCTGACCACGAGGGGACTCAAACGGGCCCACCAATAGAGGTGCAAGCTCAAGGTCCTTGACTGCCGTGACGGCCACCCGTGGCCGGTATCGCGTCCAATTTAAGGAAGAGTCAAAGCATAAAATTTTAGCGATAAGGACGATAAATAATAAGGTATTTTAGCAATATTTTAGGGAGAGGAACCGTTAGTACCGCGCCGATTCCGCCGACGACAAACCAAGGGGGATAGCCTCGCCGGGCCCTCAACCTCTCGGTTCCTTCATGCTGGTCCAATGCTTCTATGCCGCCGCTTGCTGGTCTCGATCCCTGAATCTTCCTGATAAAATTCCGACACAGTAACCAATCGTGCTAGGCCCAAGGTTGAGCGTAGTACTAGTGGACACCTATATAAGTCGGTACTATGCAGCTCGCGACCTACTGAAACATTCAAAAGTCGCGCCCTGGTCGCTCAGTAGATCCATGTCATCAAACCCCCGTGCCTATCATACGACGGCTCGTCCTTCGCACGCACGCACATGTCACGCTTAAGTTTTTCAATCATCAAACAACCTTTTAATCCTAATTTAATCAGTAATTAAAAATTTGGTCGGCGACCGAGCCGACTCTTCAACCATCAACAAGTACAAGGATCACGCACGCCTCAAGTCTGCAAGCCCACACACTCTTTACTCTAGTCAACCATTCATTCAACGTAAACCACAAACATTGTCGCGGCTTGCTTTATATACTCAAACTTTAAACTAAACTTATTTTTTGTCACTTGCAAAAACCAGGGCGGATACCCTTGTTAGGGTATTCGCACCGACAGCGTGACGCTCACCTTCAACTCAAGCATGAACTTGACCTTGCACTTGAGCCCAACCCTGATCTTGAACCCGAGCTTGACCCTGAGAGCTTGCACCCAAGCGTGACACTCGATTTTAACTCGGTATCGGAGCTCAAGCCCAGACCCTGAGCCCTTAGTCAATCTTTATACTATCTCCATTCTTCCAACTGACGGTACAGTGGGGAATGCGCAAGGTAAATGAACATCTATTTGAACGGTTCCTCGGAGTCTAGGTCTCTATGCTCTCCTACATTGGGGACCAAAATGACATTCTCCTGCAAAAATTTCTACATAGACTGACAACACGGGGAAAAACTCCTCATTTGTCTCTCTTCGGAAGAGGTATGGTGATTAGCGGGGCTTTATTTGCTCTGCTTTGGTTCGTGAGGACAATGAGAGGCTTTGGTAAACAACTATACAATCTAATAAAAAAAAAAGTCACTCACTTCCTTTGGAATCCCCAAGCTAAAGAAGAAAATTTTTCATATCCAAGGTGGCGTGGGCGCCGTGGGAGATGCTTTGCCCCCCCCACGACCAAGGAGGTCTGAGTATACTGGACTCCGAAAAGCACAATGATGCCATATTGGTGAAATGGCTAATTGAAGCAGCACTCAATTCTCCGGAACTCAGCTGGTCACTCTCACAGAACATATATTGTCCAAGGAATGGAACTTCTCCCGGCCAGAAGATACATGAACATGTCTAATGCTCCACTCTTATCATCATCGCTTCATGAAGTCACCTTCTTGGAAACCCTAAAACGAAGGAGATGACGGACCGGAAAAGTGGAAGAAGCCATAGCTTGCATATTTCTTGACGAAACGGGGCAAGGTGTGCGTGAAGACTGGGGCGTTCGGGAAGGGTGAATCTAAATCTGCAGTTAGATCGAGTGGAAACTTAGTAAAAGAGGTGATAGGAGGAAAACAAGGTGCGTGGAGAAGTGAAGAGAAGAGGAGAAAAGGAGGGCGAACGGGAAAAACAATGTAAACTCGTCCGTTTCTCAATGAAAACGGGGGAATAAAGATGTAAAATCGGGGTTCTTTCACGCTGCCGATTGATTGGCTACGATAGAATCTGCATAAAGGCCATGTTGTGGACGCTATAAGAATTGAGCGCTGCATAACTACTTTCGGATGACTTTTTGTATAGCGATGTATCTTCCCTTGTTCAAGCGAAACATTCACTTTTATTTTTGCATATCGAGATATCATCTGAGGGAAAGAGAGAGGATAGGAATCTCCACAAGGGAACGAGAAGGGCGATAAGTTTGAGGAAAGTGGTCAGTGCAACACTAACAAAGGCACAACATAGCGACGTATCTTCCCGCTTTCTAGAGCGAGATTCACTCTTGTTTTTCAGCATGTATCTTCCCACTTTCTAACAGGAGATTCGTACTCATTTAGCACATTTGGAAAGCGGTGGAGAGCATGCACACCATCACGTGTTCGATCTCAACATCGTGTTCATTACCAGTGCTGCCGTGATCGAGGATGATGATCGTGTTAGTCACGATCTCAGATTGGCTCGTGGTGGCCATCGTGCCCACACGTGGTTAACGGAGACCCCCAGTTTCAGCTCCTGACTAACAGGTCCAAAACTGAAATTAGGGTTTGGGGTTCAATTTTATTTTATTTTTTTTATTTTTTTTTTTTTTGGTTTGGTTTAAGGTTGTTATGTACCGAATTTGGTCTCATTTGGAGCATTGACATTTCCTCTGCTTAGATTTCTAAAATTTCTCAAGATTTTGGAAACTGGATGTTTGCGAAATTTGTATGAAAGTGCACTTTAGCTTGCTGTTTTATTAGTTTTTTATTTTCGTTTTTCGTTTTTTTTTTTTTGCAGTTAGTAACTATGATCTCTACTCTATGACTTGGTAACAACTTTGGTTAAAATGACCCTTGGATTTTGTTATAAATTGCATGATAAGTTCTTTGAAAATTAGGGTATCCGTTAACCACCTCTCATCGTCTCAGACTTATCCAGGTAACCATGTTGTTCGCTAGGCTCCCTATCTTTGATGAAGAAGTTATGTTCCCCCGTTCTCATGCTTGCCTCGAAAATCGCACGGATTGTGCTTCTCACTACCACGAGCTTCGTCGTTACGCTCATCCTCATTGTCGGGTGAAGTTACCTGTGGTTGGGGCTCAGTATATTTAGTTTAATGAACCTGGTCGAGAGTCCAGGTCAAGTGCATTGAAAGAACGGCTCGTTGGAAATCAAGCCAACAGGTGAACGGTACGTTGCTCAGCGATCGAGGGAAGTAGCTTGAGGCCGGCCCCAGGGAGGAGACTAACCTGCCGAATGGTGTGATGCTCATCCGACTGGTGAAAGTAGCTTGAGGCCAGCCGCTGGGAGGAGATTTACCTATTGGACGATGCGTTGCTTATCCGACCGACAACCGATGGAAATAGCGTGAGACTATCAACAGCGTTGAGATCGCTATCCTCGTAAGTCGTTGGTTATCTCGTCCACGACAACCTTCGGGATCACGTTTGCTCCCTCCTTTGTAATTGAAATCGAGGTTCGTCACGTGCCTCGGGATTCGTTTTATTTGACTCTGACTTTGTTCTCAGTCAGAAATGCCGAATGAGGTAGTGATTGAACTAGCTATACTGCCTGAATGATTACCCAAAGGAAGCTCGATTGAATGACCAAAGAGGATCGTATATGGGACTGGTTAAGAAAGGGTTGCGAAAGCTAGCAGAACAAACTGAGGGATT